AGGATGTGTGGGGGTGGGGGAAGGGGTGCTTAATATTGCCTGGAATTAAATTGATACACAAGATAAGTGACTTTATCACTGAATTTTTTTATTGTTCTCTGTAGTAGTGAGTTTTGTCTTCTTACCACAGAACTTCAGTATTAGGCTGTTCCCATTCTCTACTGATTACTTTTTTTCAGAGGTATTTAAAAAACAAACAAAACAAAAAAAAAAACCACACTGCAAAAAACCTTACCACAGAACTTCAGTATTAGGCTGTTCCCTTTCTCTACTGATTACTTTTTTTCAGAGGTATTTAAAAAACAAACAAAACAAACAAAAAAAAACCCCACACTGCAAAAAACCTCAGAAGTATTGGTGGATTGGTGGAACTAATACTTGTGGGATTATGATTTTAATGTTGTTTATAATTTTTTTTTCCCTTCAAGAATATCGACATAACAAACTTCAGCAGTAGCTGGAATGATGGCTTGGCTTTCTGTGCAGTCCTCCATACTTACCTCCCAGCCCATATTCCCTATCAAGAACTAAACAGCCAGGACAAGGTAGGACATTGGAAATCCCACTCCTGGGACTGTGAGACTATATAACTAATATGGGTTAATAAAGAAGAATTAAGAAATTTGAGTTCTAAAAAAAATGAGTATTACTAGGAATCTTAACTGAAACACTTCTAACTACCTTGCTGCTCTTCTTCTTATAACATTTTAATATTATGAGATCATTAGGTTAAGCAGAACTTTGGAACAGATATAAGGAAAAAAAAAAATAAAAGGTCATAAATTTAAGTCTGAGGCATTTAACCCAAACAGTTGGCAAGTGTTTTCCATTTGGATTTTGGAAGCAAGGAGTGTTTAAGTGTAAAGATTTTGAATCCATCAAATTTGTATCTTGACTTGTTTTGTTCATCTCTTTCAATATCACAAGGATGTTGTTTCATCCTACTTTCTTGTACTGATAAGTGACTGTGATCTCTTTCAAGTGATGTGTATCAAGTAAAGGTAAACTAGAAGATGGCAGGACTGGAGAGTAGTTTGTATGTATTTTAGCGTGCTATAGTTAATGCCTACTGGTGTGTTACCTGGAGATGTGTTATTAGTGATAATTCCTAAAAAAATAAGAATATTTCATTAACACATTAAGAGATTTTTTTTTATTCATGCTTTTTAAAGAATAAATTCTTTATTCTTTAGCATTTTATACCTCAGTCATTCTTCACCGACAATTATTTTTCAGCATTATCTTCTGAATGAGGAATTAATAAAAATTTTCCATATATTTTTTTATTATATGAGGACATACTAATTCCTATGGCTCTTTTTGAACTACTATGGTCAAATTATTATGGACTCCGAAACAAAAGTAGCAGCATTACTATGAACGTTCTTAACGCCACTTTACTATGTTTGATCTAATATTTCCTTGGATTCTAACATGTTTTTATATCTCATGCAGAGAAGAAATTTCACTTTGGCTTTTCAAGCAGCTGAAAGTGTTGGCATCAAATCTACTCTGGTAAGCTTTAAATGCATACTGAATGAATTATGGCCCATTTATAAAAACCAAATTATTCTATTTTGTACTTTTGAAAGATTTTGATGCATTATACTTAAAAATATCAGCAGATGAGCTCAGCTAGAGGTTATTGCCAGTGTATCATACTTGACTGAAAAACTCATCTCTCAATATCATTAGAAATAATAATAAAGACAGTGAATTTGCTTGAGAATAATTTGAGAAATATTTATGTGATAAAATCTTCAAGAGTTTATTAATTCTCTCCTGTCTCTGACCTACTTTCAAATTATTTGGGTTTTTTTGGAATTCTGGAGGTGTGAACCAAGCTATGTAATTTGGTTTTTTGCCCAATGTAATATGAGAGTCAAGATTTTAACTCTTAAGTTTACACTTTTAATTGGTTGTCATTGTAAGTAATTGAAAGGTTTTTTCAATTATTGTTTATAATAAGCTTTCCTATACAAATTTTAGCTTAAAATAATTAGTTTTCAATAGTATAGCACGTATTTACTAGAAAAGGAAGATTTCTGAAGGTATGGAATTGGGAAAAGCCCAAGACCTTTTGAATAATCACAAAAATTCAGCTAAAATTGCCTTTATCAGAAGTTATGCTTAAGTGATACTTTTGTAACTTAAATTCTAACAAAGCTGCCGTAGTTAGCAACTAATAATACAACAAAGTGAGACATTTTTAAAAATAGCACTTTCCCTGATCCTTATCAGAGCCTTTACCCCCCAGCATTGTATTTGCTGACAATGGCAGTGCAACTGTTGAGCTTTAGTACTTTGACTGTCAGTGATTTGAAACATGGAAGTTTTTTACCCAGCGCTGAGGTAAGAACTGGATTGTGGAAAACAACTGCAGTAATTCATATGTAATTCAGCTTTAGTCTAACTGGCTGCTGTTATCCTTTCTTTTTGTAATGTACTTAATTACATATGCTCTGAAAAGGCGAACTGAATGGACTTAAATCGTCTAAGTGCAAATTGTATCTATCTTAAGGATTTAGTATCTATTTACCTACCTACATATGCAGTGTGTACGATGTGTATGTTTGTGGATTTTTTCCTTTGTCCCTATTGCATGCGTGGAGGGTGAAAAAGGATTTGAAAACTATTGTCTGTAAATAGTAGTGGCAATGTAAGAGAAAGTTATTTGTTCCCTGAATAAGTGTTTGGCTCCTTTCATGTGAAGAACTAAAAAAAAAAAAAAAAATTACTTTCTCTTTCTTGAATTCTGGAGGTTCCTGGACTCAAAGCTTACAAAATACATCCTTACAGCAAACAAAAAATATTAGAAACTGCATCACACTGTTTTCCTTTGTACATATGCTGAAAAGGGTAGATCAGGCTTTGTTCACCCTGCTTATTCACAGACAATCTGGTGTACTGTTACTGTGAAATACATGTGAACTGGTCTATCAGTTAGACACGAACCGATTGCTTTGTCCCTTGGATATACCCAAATTGGTAGTAAAGTAAATGTCTCTCTTCCTTGCCTCTTTACTCACAAATATGTATAAAGTAATCTAAAATTCAGTAGTCTACTGCAAAATGAGATTCAGTTATTTACTGATGGTGACTCTTACCCTGATATGAATTTTTAACTTTAGCTTCAATTAATATCTGGGCCTCGATTCTGTGACTCTCAGTACCTGGGTAGATTGCATTGCCTTGCGAGGCTGGTGTAGGGGTGTGAGAACACTAAAGTCTCGACTACTATACTAATTGTACTAAATGGGGACAGCTCAAGTACACACAGCATTACACATTGTGCTCTTGAGTCAACAAAATATCTATCTACAGATATGCTATTTATAGCTGTTTACATTTTGTAAGTAACACAAAGATGTATGGAAGAAAACAGAGCTTTCTTCATCAATATTTTAAATTGTGGAAACTTTACAGATTTACCATTCCCAGGAATTTGTAAAAACACTGCCTCATTACTCACAAGGTTTTCATTCCTGTTTTTGACCAATCTGTTTTCTGTGACAGGACATCAATGAAATGGTCCGAACTGAGCGTCCAGACTGGCAGAATGTCATGCTGTATGTTACAGCAATTTACAAATACTTTGAAACCTGAAACCCTAATAATTCTGCAAATCCATGGGATAGAACCAACATGAGCTACCAGATGGAAATCTTGCTGAAATGCTAATCCCCATTTCACTGAAAACTGGCAACATTTGAGTCCCCTCAAACTTCAGTGACACAGTCCTGGACTGCCTCAGATTGCTTCAGCTACTAAGCCTGGAAACAACTGTTTAAAAGCAAGAACTTGTTGCCACAAGTGCTTGGAATAACCCAAGTTATTAAGCTATTCAGATTAATTATGTAGCCTAAAAAGCCTGGGCTACTTATGCGCTGCCTTTCCAGCCAGAGTTCTTGAAGCTTTCTTTCCTAGGAGTGAGATGAATGGATCCTCTAGCATTTAGGAGACTGAATGTACAGCTAAAGCTTTGAGAAGGAAAAGGATAACATGGCATCGTATTACTGAACGTTCTGTAGCATCCTGATACCACGGAGTCTGAATATTCTACCCACAGCATATTGCACCCTGATGCAGTAGAGTTCTTAACGGTAATTTAGTTACTGCCTTTACAGCTATTTTCCCTCCTTTAAAATATGTACAGTATTCTAAAAAATCAAGCTTTTATTCCATGACAACAAATTGAGTGGAAAAGTGCTCTCAATACCTCGGAAACTTTGGCACAGAAGAACTCTTCATTCTAAAGCTTCGTTATAAGCCTACCTCTGTCACAGTGATGTGGCTTCCAACTTTATCTTATGGATTGTAAAGACTAGCACGTACAGCTCCTGGTTTTCAGGGTACGCTATACTTCAAGGAATCTGTCCAAATTCCCTGTGCTTCCATTATAACAGAAATGAACTGATAATCAACCCTTGTACGGCTTGTTCTTGCCCCTCTTCCTCCTTTGCCTGTATAGCACGCACAGCTGCCCCAGGCTTTACTCTACAGCAATACAAGCATACGTCATGGACTTCTGTGGTAGAATTTTGGAACTGGGATAGCATTTCCTCTGCAGAGCAGATCTTTTCAATAAGATGTAATAATGAAGTAGTTTGTCTCAAAATCCGGCTTTGCCGTGTTTTCTGTGCGTTTTCATTGATCTTGCACATCCTCATCTGACTGACGGAAGGGGAGACGTTCTCTGACAAGAACTATGGAGGAACTGATGTAATGTGTATACAACCAGTAGTCTCAGATATTGTGTGGAAACGACTCACTGTCACAAGGAAGGAATTGAGAAACTTTAGTCTGCTCAACTTCTATTTTCCTGTGATGTACCTGAATTCATGTAACAGGTCTCGGGCAAAAGAGTTCAAGTAAGTGCCTTAGCGATCATTGAATCGATACATCCTGGCACTTCAGGGCCTCGTGCAGAATGTTAATGGCTCAGAACGATTTCGTATATCCATTTGTCATAAGCTGTTTGTTGTAATCTTGTTTGTCAAATCAAGGGAAGACTTCACTCTATCATTGCTTCTGCCTCTTATTTTTCTGAATACTTATCGGCAGTTAAGCCACGGTCGAACATCTCTCATTAATATTAAGCAGAAGCCTACTTTAGAAGTGAGTTCTGTAACAACTGCTATTTGTAAGCACATGCTCTTTCAACACATTAACCCTGTTATAAAGAAAATGATTCTGCCATTTCCATGGTGCTCTTATGACTGTTAAGGACAGTTTGAATGTCATAGATGTTAACCCAGTGAATGCAACTGTGCTTGGCATCTGTGAAACTTCATCATGGTATAAAAGCACAGATTTAACTCAAAATTATTGCCAAATCAAAAAACGTATCATCTGAAGAACATAGCCCATGTGAAGAGTAATAATTCAGCACGTCTCTAGCAGCTAGCATTATATAAAAATACATGCATACACTGATATGTGCCTGTGAGAATTACAAACATTTCAAAATAACTATTTAATCCATGCTGAGGTCCTCTGGAGAAGTTTTCAGAGCAGCAATGTCTCATACATTCTTACAGTTCTTTAGAACCCTAAAAATATCTAGATACTCTCTGTGCATTTGAAGAGCCAACGTAACCTAAAAGACAATTGTTGCAAGAGAGGCTTCAAGTGAAAAATCTTCATTAACAGATTTTAATAAAAATCTGAAATACGATTTCCTCTCCTGGATATTTCTTCAAAAATTTTTTGTTTACTTCTTTTCTTCAAATAAGTTTCAAACAGAATAGTCTTATTGGAAATACGCATTATTGCTGTCTCAAATTCCATCTCTTACTACTAAATTCCAAGTTTTGTCAATTTGTGTTTAAAAAACCTTCTATTCATCCTCTGAACAGACATCCTTATCTATGATTGTCTTATTCATTGCCTTAGATTTTAAGAAAATATTTTTCTAATGAAAAGGATAGCATTTCTTGGGCTAAATTCACTCATGGTCAGCTTCATTTATCTGACATGTTGTATTAGTCCTTAACTGAAATAACACTAATAATATAACCATTTGTAAAGCAGGAAATCACACTTTCCAGATATTTTCTGTTAAAAAGATGCGCTGCTAGTCTTCAGAGAGAAGTTATTGGTAATTATATAAATGATCTTGTTTTGAACTTCAGAGCTCTGTAAACTGCTTCTTGGCGTGATCTGTCTGATAAACCTCTGCTGAGTTCATATCTGTAAAGGAATATTGAGCTCCATGAAGAGGTTTTTTTTAATAATGATATATCTGAGCCTTCACATATAAGATGCTGCACAGCTGTCTGAGTGGAAGTAATGAATGGAAGATCTAAACCAAACATAATGCCCTGCTGCACGCTACAACATGTTATTTCTGAAAGCTCAAACAGCATTCAATTTTTCAAGAGGAAGGATAGCTGTAGCCCTCTGGATGTGGATGATACTGTTCTGCTTGGTTCCTACTCAGTTAATGGTGAAACAGCCTGGTTTTTTCCTACATAGGAAGTGCAAGTTCATGATAATTTACTTTCCTTTCTTTTCAATACAGAAAATATTTCTGAATGTACTAAAAAAAAAGGACAAATATTTTATCATCCATTTATATTATTGCATTTTAATATGTGCCTTGCAAATGCCTGTGCTGTAGTATATCAGGGTTACTCATTGCCAGCTGTAGCGGTGGGGTGGGCAACAAAATGGAGCTGTTGAACACCTTGATGCAGATACGACTGTATCATCTTCTGGATCGTGTTCACCAAAACACTTCCATCGATTAGAGAGGTCAGTTTAGAGCCAAATGTGTATTTGGTTTGGCTAATTGTCATCCTGATGCAAAATCATCAGCAATGAACTGAATGAACAGTTGTGGGTTTTCTTCACCAAAAAAAAAAAAAGGGATGGGAGGAAAAATTTAATTTTGGTTATTTAAGAAAATTCTGTCAGAGAAGTTTTGATATGGAGTAACTAACAATAACAGAGGTGGCTGATTTGGTTTCAGTTGGGTTTCTTTTGATCCCGTTTGATTTGATTGTCTTGTATATTTAAATAGAAACACTAATTTAGTATCCCTGATGTGAATCTCAGTGGCCCTCACAAAGATCTTTCATTCTTATGGCGCTGAGAAATTGTAAATTAAATTTTCCTTTTTAAACTTTTGTTTGTGGATAGGTTATGCAGAATATAGTATTTAATTACAGCATATTCTGATTTAAAAGTAACTTTTTGTCTCTTTTGCATAAAATATATTCCTTAAGTTACATGTAGCATTTCTGATATTTTTTTGTCTCCTGTTTTGTAAAATATTTCCACTGTTCGTGTTTTTCTGTGAAATCCATCATCATGCTTTAGGGACCCCTTAATTTGCCAGAGCTAAATGAACTCAACTTTGACGTATTGGTGTAAACTCATGTTAATATCACTGGCAGCAGTCATATTCTGGTTCTACATGCATAGGAGAAATAAATTTGTCCCTTGCTCTAATGATGCAGTACAGTTTAAACTGCTGAGAATCTGCCTTAGGAATTTTGTAGCTGTGACAAAAATTCTCCCTGACATCTCATTTCTGTTAATGATCTCAATGTTAAGTTCTTATCTATTTTTTCAGTTCCCTGATTCAACACTTAGACATTTGCATTCTGTTGCATCTTTTCCATCACCAAAAAGTTACTTTTACTAAATTTTCTCTATTTCCACACAGTTTTGGCCCAGGCTACAAATTTAATTATAGCCTAATTTTAAACAAGATTATTTGGGAAACTGGAGATACTGAGAACTTCTGAGTGTTTTTCTTACTTTCTGTGTTCTGCTTGTGACTGGTTTGGGAATGCTGTCTGGTTTTCAGGTGATATGTGACAATATCTTCCAAACCTGCCCTCTCTGGATGGCTGGTGTGAAGCTATGCATAGGCTAAAGTTAAGCCTTTAAAACTGTGTTCCTGTGATGCATGTGGTGACTTTAGTTCTTACTTTGTTCTTGCAACTGATTACAGTCACAGCTTAACTGCAGGCTGCATTGAGCAGGAGCTATTAAAGGGCAGAATTCTTCTGGGAATGAATCCAGTTGTATAGCTTTACACTTTTTTTTACCTATTGTGAGTAATACTCTTGCTGAGGTGGCCTAAGAGAGAAGATTTTAAAATAGTAGTGTTCACATACAGACTGACTTAACTATATAGTTTGTTTGTGGTCCTTCCCTTGACTTGGTAAATATTTATTTCTGTTTTATTTTTATGTTCTACCAAGCTCTATTTCTGCAGTTCCATTCTTGAAGCTAGCATTAATGTATGAATACTCGGTAATATTAACTAGTTTGAGAAATGATTTAGTGAAAAGTGGTATTAAAGTGTAGTTGTCATCCACAAGTTCTGGACGTGCCACTGTGCTTTTTTTGTCTTGATTGGCAAAACGTGTTAGAGCTGCTTAACTGTCCCATGTGTTCCTTATCTGCTGTACAGCCTACATCACCCCAGGGTGTCCATCAGCTGTTCTTGCCCCCAAATTGTCAATTAAATGAGTTAAGGGTCCATAGACATCTTTTAATATATTTCATTATCCCTATTTAGAAATGTGTCTGTAATAGTGTCTCTGCTTTCAAAGGAGAGTGGCTGGATGGGTTTTAAATTGCTGTCTGGCTTGCTGAGCATTCCCAGTCCTTCCTTCATCTGTTTTTTTCTGTTATATTCCCTATGATTTCACTATCAGTGTTGAAGTACACTTTGTAATTGTCAAAGCCAAGATGTTAAGAATCTGAAATGTGTAGCAAGTATGCATTTGATAATTAATGCAAAATAACTTAAGAGATCAAGGTTTGTACATTTCTAATTTCTATTAGAGTGTTGATACAAGTGTCTTTTTCCTGATGTCTTTGCACTTGCCAGTTTTTGGGATGCAACACCCTTGAACTCAGTTTGATAAGACCACTATCCTGGCCTCCTTAAATTAATTCATTCTTCAATAATAGGATTATTTCCTCACACCAAAACTTCAGTAAAAACTATGAATACCAGATGACTTCCTTCCAACTGACATTTAGCTTTTACTGGGAATATTCCTTACCCTTTGGCCACTGTCTGCCAGAGTTGCACGTAAAGTTCCCATCAGTTCCAGC